TTGACATTGTATTATCCTATTTCAAAATAATTTGTTAAAATTTTAGATTATATTGTCCCCTCTCCTCATACAGAGAAGGAAGGCTCCGTGACGATCAAGCCTAGAAGCTTTTTCTTTGAATATGAAGAAGATGCTTTCTTGCCTCAGGACATACTTCCATTTTTTCCTATTTATGGTATCTATCAAGTTGAAGCCGGGTCCCTTATACTGTTATACATGACAGAAAAGGAAGAAGATGAGGGCCTGTGCCCTTGGCATCGCACAAAGCAGAGGAGGCGATGGGGAGAGATCAAAGAGGGAAGGGGTTTTTTTTTGCCAATATGGAGAAGATAGGGGCCTCTGTGGTTTTTGCAATTGAGAGGGGAGACTGTTGAGTCTTGTAATTAGGTTGTTAAGCCTAAGTGAATGTCCCAAGGCTACCAAGAGGGGGGTGAATTGGTAGTTTAAAAAACAAAGTTAAAATTTAAAACCCCTTTTTGAAAATTATTGAACCGAAATAAAATCTCTTTTAAATTTTGTAGAAAAAGGTTTTTCAACCACAGAGTTTATAAACTGAAATAGAAAGTGCCGAAACAAAAAAAAAAAGTAAATGACACAATTTATAGTGGTTTGGTCTATAACCAACCTACATCCACTCCCAGAGGCACCTCTGATATTGCACTAATACTAATAGTGACTCCTTTTGCACCCTTAGCAAGTGGAAACCTTTACAACACACTCTTTTCACCACTCCCCCGTTGCGGCAGAGAACCGTCCGTCATTTACACAATTCTAAGTGTTGTCAGAGAACCGTCCGTCCATTCACACTATCCCCAGGTTGGCGAGAAACCGTACGTCCTTTCCACACTCTCCTAGTTGAGCAGAGAACCCTTCCGTCCTTTCAACCTCCTAGATGGGGCAGGAACCTTCCTCCTTCACACTCTCCTAGTGTGGGCAGAGAACCTTCCGTCCTTTCACTCTCCTGTGTAGGCAGAGAACCCTATCCGTCCTTTCAACACTCTCCTAGTGTGGGGCAGAGACCCTTCGGCTTTCACACTCTCCAAGTGTCGCAGAGAACCGGACTCCTTGACAATCTTCTCACAAAATCTAGAAGGAAGAAGCGAAAAGAGTGAGTAATCCCAATTTACAAGTAGGATTTACCTTTGAACTCCAAGTGAAGCCTTCTCGCTCCAGTGGTAGAATCCTCCCTTGAATGCTCTCTTCCACTCCTTTTCCTGGCTATTTCTCTCAATAAGCACGAAGATCAAATTGACAAAAAGATTGGTGGCAGTCTTATTTGCTATTTATATAAAAGACAAAAAAACCGCCCAAAAACTGCAAGTATTTCAATTCTTGTACGCAAGTGGATCTCCTGTACGACGTGGATCAGTCCTGGACGATGTTACTTAAACATCTGAAACGACCCTATTGAAATATGTGTACGAAATGTCTTCGTACAGGATCCGTCCTGAGAACTAGGTTGTCCAGTACGAACGAGATTATTGCAGGTCACGGTTCTAGAAACTGCTGAAACTCGTCTAAGTCGTGGTTATCCTTGTGGACGAAAATTTATTCGTCTGGACGAAATTTTACAGAGACGATCGTAACTGGGATGATAATTTTATTTCGTCTGGAGAAAATTTTCAGAGAGCCATAGTCGCCACCGCGACGATTAATTTAATTTCGTCTGGACGAAATTTTACCAGAGACCGACTGTCCCTAGCACGATATTTAATTTCGTTGGACGAAAATTTCTTCCAGAGGACCGGTCGCCAGGACGATAATTTAATTTCGTTTGACAAAAATTTCTAGAAGCCATCGTCCTGCACGTTAATTATTTCGTCTGGACGAATAGGACTTACGACAACATTTTTCGAGCAGTTCCTATTCGTCACTATGCATCTAAGGAGATAACTGTCTGATCGAGCCAGTACGAATGAAAGTCCTGTTACGATAGTTATAAAGTTTATATGACTTCCTTATGTCTGTGTATGTTTCTTATCACTCAAAAGTAACAATCACTCCCTTTCAATTTGATTTCTAAGAAAAGATGCAAGCTTCAAATTTACAAATAAGTCGCATGCTGATTTTAATTTGAAGTCTTCGTAGTCTGGAGTTCATTTTTCCTGAAATGTTAGTACACACAAGAGCAAATACAATTCTTCTAAAAAATGTTAGGAGATAACTACACATTTGAACAATAATGTTTGGAATCATCAAAACTTCATAAGTTGCAAAAATGTAAAGCATGCAAATAGCAACTATCTTAACAGAGACCACTCAGGGGGAAGAAGAAGAAGAAAGGGGAAAATGAGGAGGAGAAGGGAGAAGAGAGAGAGGATCAATAGGAGGAGGGAGATCTGCGGCGTCTGGCTCGGTTCGAATGGAGGAGAGGTGGAGGCGGGGCTTCCGTCTGAAACGATATGGCTACTTTCGACTTTTTAGCATATCAGAACCGCGGAAAGCAGGGAACCGCGCAAAGTATTTCGCGTCGCAAAAAGTAGGCTGCCAACGTAAAAATTTTTAAGCCTCCGGTCCAACGCATTGTCCCAAACAACAGGAGCTGCTCGTTTTAAGCCGCGAAGCAGCCGAGACGTCGTCCCAAACGTAGCCTAAAAGAGATGCAACACCATAAATTTGTCAAAAAAAAAAAAATCATTTGATGTTCTCTATATAACATTTGACGGGAAATGAATAACAAGAGATTTGAAAGGAATTATGAGTGTATTAACTCCATATGCCAGATAATCAAGAAAGGCATTTATCTCAAAATCACTAAGGGGATGTTTGATTGGAGGAAAAGTGGATGCAAAGTATGGTGAATACTTTGTTTTTTCACTTTTTGGTGTTTTGTTTGTCCCGAAGTAAAGTAAATTTTACGTGTATTCGTAACTCCCTGCATTAGTTCATTTTGTTGATGTAAAGTATGGTGAATACTTTACGCTGCATTTAATTTGCACTGTATTTATTTTGCACTATATTTACTTTACAATCGATCAAACAATTCCTAAGTGGAAGACTTTTGAGGAGATTTAAGTCTCTTATGTCTTGATTATATGTTGGTGAAAAGTTGGGGCTAATTTGGTTTCTTCTAGACATTTTACGTTTTTTATGAAAATTTGGTGCTTTTTCTCTGTGTCTATTTTGATTAGTGGGCTCTAATTTTTGCAGATTCCAGACATCGCACTGGACTATTATAAATGATTTCCACATCCAAGAGCTTGTATTTCATTGGAGGGACTCTTTGGCAACAAGAAAATATTTTATTCGTTGACACATATAATTGTTGGATGTATTTTTATCTTTGCTCATTTTAAATCCAGCTTTTGATTTATTTCTCTTTGTAATTGATTATTAATTTTGCCTTGCCGCACTTATTTTGTTTGCTGTTCATAGCCTTCTTTTCTTGTGCTTTAGTTTCCACCATCTTTTGTTGTTTCTCAGTAATTAATTGATGGGCCTTGCCCCTATTTTGTTTCATTGTAATGCTTTTAGAGTATGAAGATGTTGAGAGCTATTCACAGTAAAATTTGTTGCAATGATTTAATATTTATTCTAGTTATAAGAGCTCGCTTATTATGTTTACAAATTTTTTATGTGTTTCTGATAATTTAAAAAAGAAAAGAAAAGAAAAAATCTAATTTATCATATTAACTTAATATTATTTGATTAATTTAGACTTATTTTATTGTTATTAAAAAGTATGAATAAAGATGACTCGCTAAATTTTAATATGGAAACTTAGTTCTTTAAATACGACTTTTGAAGAATGACAATTAAGTGCCTCTTTTTTTTTTGACATTTAGGCTAATAAAAACAAACTCACACACACATCACATACGGAAGACTCGAACCAAAGACTTATTGGTTCATAACCAATGCTCACAAGTCCCAACCAATAGACCAAGATTAGCTGACTGCCATCAAGTTTGAATAACAAAAATATTTTAAGGTCTTATCACTCAAACACTACATTAAAATAGGCCCACCTAAAATTAAGGTTTCATTTGAGGCAGCTTTATAACTATTTTCTAAAGTAAAATTTTAGTACAAAAATTTCTAATTCAAAAAAATTTGTATACTAAAAAACCGTTTTAGAAAACAGTAACAAAATTATATCAAATTCGGAACACGCACCAATTTGTGCCACATGACGTAGCAGACGTATCTACAATAGAAAATTTGAAATTCAAATATTCGAAGGTCATTGTCTCATGAAAAGATGATTTGAAGGGTAATATATCAACCACTCAGCATTTATTTCAATGACGGAATTCATAAATATAAATCAAGTACTTTATGATGAATTTTGAATTTTAGCTATGCAAGAAGAATTGAATCAATTTTTTAAAAATGATATTTGGAGGTAGATAAAAAAGACCTAAAGATCAAAGTTTTGTTGCAACAAAGTGAGTTTTTAAAAATGAAATGAATGATTCAGGAGTAATGGTTAAAAATAAGACAAGATTGGTAGCTAATGGATACAATCAAATAGAAGGAATTAATTTTGAGAATACTTTTGCCTCTATAGTCAGACTTAAAGCAATAAGGGTGCTTTTAGTTTTTGCCTATTTTAAAAGTTTTAAATTATTTCAAATGGATGTTAAAAGTGATTTTTTTAATAGGATGATAAAAGAGGATGTTTATGTTGAGCAACCTCCAAGTTTTGAAAACTCAAAATTTCTTAATCATGTGTTTAAAGTGAAGAAAACACTGAATGGACTAAAACATACACCTAGAGCATGGTATAAAATGTTAAGCATTTTTCTACTGGAAAAATATTTTGTCAAAGGAAGTGTAAACATTATTTTATTCATAAAAAGAGTAGGAGATGATATTCTTATTATTCAAATTTATGTTGATGATATCTTATTTGGATCAAGTAAAAAAAATCTTTGTGATGACCTTTTAATGGTAATATATCATCAGAGACTGGCGTTTTACAAATAATAACATGTACTCCATATAAAATTTAATAGAATTCAGCTGTAAACATCACGAAGAAACATGAAATTTTTACATGCACACCCACTAAACTATATGGTTTTTTTTTTTTAATAATTCTAAAAATGATACACACTACACAGTTTCATCAAGTGTTCTTAGAATGTACAAATAAAATTTACAAATTTGACATATAAGCAGAAGGTAGAAATGGCTTAAAATAAATTTCTATTTGTTTTCTTATTTTTTTAACCACTTTCATACTGCAATTACAAGAACATAAAATCAATCCAGGAAATTTTTTTTTTCAACATCTTTTTATCCTTTGTTCAGCTCCTTGTCATTGAAGTAGTAGTGTTGTAGCTTTTGGCGAGCCATAAGATTATCCAGAAAACATTTATCCTTGATACATGCAAAGAAAGCTAAAAGGAACAGCTTTTGCACAATGCAACCTAAGAAAAAAAGTAATGAACTTTTTTTATTATTCTTATTTGAAGAATGAGAACCAAGAATGATTCCAACAAAAGCAAAGCTAAACAATCAATTTGTGCCACGTACCTACTGCTCAGCTGCTCTATCAAATTCCAAGTTATGAGAAGGCCTCCATTTCCTGTTAAAAGGCTCATAGCTCTTTTTCTCAACTAACGTTTGTGCACTTAGTTTCTCACTGATAAGAGATAAGAGTTCCTTCAAGCCAATTCCTGTAATAGCAGAAGTTTCTATGCGGTTGGCAACTTCCTGCTCACAATGTGCATTAAACATTGCAAGCCTTTGAACATCAGAGTAATGAGTTCTTTGGTTGTCGTCCAAGTCTAGACCCTCATTCTGTAATAAGTCGGACGATAAATCCCTTTCAGTTAAATCCACAACAGCCATTTGCTTAGATCGAATGCTCTCCTGAAAATTTGACAAAATCCCATCTTCTTCTTTTAGTTTTGCTTCCTTCAGACCTTCTAATCGGTTCGTAATCCTTTCTTCTTCACCTTCAACTAGGGCTTCATCTCGAGTTATAAGAAGATCAATCTGGGCATACGCAAATACAAAAATATATGATGCTCAACACCGACGAATGAAAATAATGTGACTAACTTCATTTATGTCATAGTCATAGAAAAGAGGCAGAAAGGTGCATACTTTATTCCAAACTTCAACCATGTTTTGAATCTTTTCTTCTGATACGCCAATTTTCTGCAATACTTCCAGCACACTTGAACGTTGCTCAAGAACATTGGGAGCACTGGAATCTAGCACATGCTGCATCAATTACCAAATATAGTATTTTTGGTTTTCATAACATGGTAAATGGATTTCAATTCTAGTTTTCACAAGAAAGAAAAAAAAGTTAATTGCCAAACATATAAGGGTCTATCTTGCTTGCTTGCACGGTTGCCTCCTAATCAACCATTCATTTTGTTATTATTGCCACAGACTAAATATTTTTCTTTCAGTTTTTAGCATGCATAATGAAATAGACACACAGAAATTAACAGTAATTGCAATAGCATTGCAAACGGTCTAAAATCAACTTAATTGTTACAATCAAGATGGTTCCCCATCCAACCAACAAATTGCAAAGTAAAAAACACGTACTTTAATTCAAGACCTGTAACACTAGTAATGTAAGCATTAAGTAACCCACCAACCTAAAAGTTTAAGCTTTGATAATGAAGAACATTATTTAAATTTAAATCCTAATAATACAATAAGGTGTAATTTTTCAAATCAAATAAATATTGCTAGAGTATGACACAACAAATGATGTACATTTTCCATAATAAAGCTAAGAATTTAAACCAAAAAAAAAAACCAAACATATGGAGATTTGGCTCTCATTGGACAACTTCTTATATATATATATATATATAAGCAAAAGCCTAACACTTAATTGCATGGAACTAGAAGCAACCATTTCCTAACCAACTTTAACTTATAAAATATTAAAATACTTGAAAGTGGATATTTGAGATATGACATTTTACAATATGAAGTTTTCATATGTATAAAACCCTCCTATTCAAAAAAGAAAATGACTAGTTTGTACAAATATGAGGAACCCTTATATGGTGATTGCATAACTCAGTCGAAAAAAATGAAGATGATCAAATGAATGTTTGAACATATGTACGTACAATGACCTATTTGGCATCAACAAAAATAGCCATCTCAAACAGTGGAAGTGATGAAGGAAAACATATATAAAAATGCCAAAAAAATTCGCATCTAGACAATGACATCTGATTTCAAATAAAAAATTCATACAAAATTTGGAAAGGAACAACTCTTACTGGAGAGTAGGGAGCAATTAGTCATACCAATAGAAGGTCTGCTTCCACCACTTCTTCAAGGGTAGCATGAAAAGCTTCTACCAACTGAATAAATTATTTTCCTCATAAGCAATGGAGAAAATTCTTGTCACAAGGATAATGGTAAATTAAAAACTTTATGAAGATACCTGAACAGGCAAATCTGAAATAAAACCAACAGTATCACTGAGAAGAGTTTTTATCCTGTCAATATCCATCAGAAAAAGATTCATTATTTTTAGAGATAAAACTCTGCAAAATCATTTTTATAGTACCCTGATGGAAGAATCACACTTCTTAAACGAGGATCCACAGTTGCGAACAATCTGCATGGAAACAAACATATTACTTGAGGTATAGGTGGAAGTGGTCCAATTCAATAGAGCATATAAGAAGTAAAGCGGTCATGAATGGACTGTTAACTATAATAGATACAATTGAAATTTTACTAAAGGAAAGATATACCTATCATCCCTGTACAGATCGCTGTTCGAAAGAGCGCTAACCAATGTAGATTTTCCCTGCAGTCAGATAGTTAAAATTAGAAATAATACCCCAGAATTGATAAGCACACAATCCCAGAACTGACGACTACACGATCAGATGCAATCCAAATAAACGAAACTCATGTAACCAAAATTTTGCATGAAAGAAAAAACAAAAGAAGACAAGAATACATATAGTCTCTGAAACATAAGTAGGATCCAGTCACGCCGTTGAATGTAAAATGACCTAAACAGGTTGAACGTGATAAAAAATTGGAAGGATGGCCTTATTTCAATCTAGTAAATCATCAACAATTGCTGATCAAAAACTTTTTATGTCCCTTCAATCAAATTATGAACCGTATCTTGGCCATCATTGAATTTTATCAATTTAAGGTATTCCAATTACAATCACCTAAAAGCTAGATCCCGAGATTTGTGTTGCGCCAGCCGCCATGTGTGCTACCGGTCGACTACCATTGGTTTATCCATCTATTATCTATCCATCCTCCCTAGAGCTCAAACATATTCTTCTACAAAGTGTTTGGAAGGCGGCGTTATTGGTGTAGACGAAACCAACTCATGCACAACTCTAAGTACACCCAAGAGTATGTAGGCATTATAGCTGACAGTCATGGAAATGGTCAATAATCATTATGCAGAATCAATGGGGCTTTCAAAGACTAAACATACTACAAAGAATATGGATATTTTGAAGTTGCATGTCAACCAAAACAATAACATGAGAAGTATCTCATGACAGTATGGTCGTAATGGTCTCAGCAGTAAGAAGACGACCTGCAAGAGTAAGAAAACAAACTATAATATATAGCATCATATATGGCCATCTTAATGGAGGATGAAAGGTCTGGATATCTCCAAACATTATGCCATAATGTATAAGCACTTATGTGACAATTTGGTAGCAAAAATAGCAGAAAGACAGCCATTCAGTAATAAAGCGTGCAATGAATAGGAAGCTATGGAACTACCTGTATCTCCATTTGTAAAGATTAGGGTGCAAGTATAATGATGGAAGGCAATGCATCATTAATCTCCAACATAGAATCTTATTCCAGATCAAAATCAAACTCAGCAGTTGGTTGATCATCATAATCATTAATCCAGGGTACAAAAATAAGAGCATCTTGAAAATATTCTCAATTAGTTCTTCGAAATCCTTCAAAGGACATTGTGGCATTGTCTGGTCATGTGATGGAGATAGCATATATAGCGTTGCATGCTTAAACTATGTATTGCTTCATGCAAAGTTCTTGCTATTTCTCAAAGGTGTGATGGAATGATGATGCCTAATGAGTGGATGTTGGCCATAATTCTCATAATGCTATTGATGCGGGCAAAAGATACAGGGGAGCCTATATCTCTTGATCACAAAAGACACGGCGGACTTCTACGGACGAAAATGACTAAAGATGAGGAAGAGGGACGAACAAACTCTTACATTTCAATTTAAACTAAACAAAAGAAAACTTACAACAATACAAATGACTCTTACAAACAAAATGACGACACCCTAAAGTTGCTTCACTTAGAGAAGAAGGATACAGGTGGAGTGGCACTTGCGGAGAGACGAAAGAGATTAGAAGCCCGAGAAGAAAGGTTGGAAAGAGCCCGCAAGATTTCCGGAGGGGATGAGAAAGAAGGGTGGAAAGAGCCCGCAGGATTTCCAAGCAACCCGCAGGTTAACAGATTTTTTTCCAAAAATCAAATATCATTCACTTCTTTAAACAATACATAACCCCCATAATAGGTATGAAAGTGAATACAAAAGGACACATACATTAATTCTACACATATTTCTAAGCATTAAAGCATGGGAAATCTCCCCCTCAAGCTCACGGTTTAACACCCAAACCAGGAACCAAGGAGACAGCCACAGGAGACGATGGAACCGCACGGACCAAAGAGCCACGACCACGGGAAACGAAGGAACCGCACGGACCAAAGAGCCACAGCCACGGGAGAAGGAGTCCAGCCGTGAGATCCCAAGAGGCAAACATAAAAATCTTAAAACCTTGGTGGAAACCAAGGGGTCATACATAAGAATACTAAACACCACACTTGGGATTCCAAAAGTCCCATTGGAAACCCAAAAGACTATAACATAAAAAGCCTAAAAACATTTAATTAAAAGATAATAAATGAACTAAAATGTTAGCTCATAATGAGCTAACCCTTAGTTCAATAAATGAACTAAAGTCAGCTCATAAATGAACTAAAAGTTTGGCTCAAATATGATGAAAACACTAGACTCAAGGGAAGCCAAAATTTGATTTATTTTGGACTTGTGTTGACCCCCTCTTTATCTACATCAGCTATTGTCAAAATTTATACGATATATCCAGAGATATTGAAATTGAATCTAATGACAGAGAGATGAATGCCCACAAAATTAACATTCTGTCCCAATAAATGTGTAAAGTCAATAATATCACCAACAATAGAAATAGTCCCTCCTAATATGGCATTAAAAAAGAATGCTCACACAGGGAATTCAAAATTATGAGTTAAGTGCTCAAGCTTACACCAATCCACCCATCCATGCAAGAATAAGCCAATGGCACCAATATCAAATTAAACTGAAGCTCATCAAAAACTTGCCATGTCAATCGACCAAATAGGCCGTGCATTGAAGTCCTTGAGCCACTACGCACCATGTCATGCCTCCGGCCGCTATGGACCATATCATGCTTATGAGTCTAAGCGACCATTTTAGACACCTAAATACATCTCACATGAACAACGCATTTTTTGTGTATTGATTTGGAAAAAAGAGAAATGAAAAGGACAATCGGGCATATATACTAAAAAATTAGTATGTTATTTCAAAAACCATAGATTCAACGGATGATACTTTTGGACTAGGTCAGGCATTTCTGCCAAGCCTGAACACCCACTATGCACACTGATTGCTATCACCAAATTTGAAGAAAAAAGAGTACAAAAAGTGTGAAAAAGATGAATTACATTAGATATCGAGTATATATTTAAAATAATAGAATTTTGTAGGAGTAACTCATACTGCATTTGTATAGCCAACAACAGCAACAGTTGCTAGACCGTGACCATTTGAACCACCATGCCTTCTTCGAGCAGAACGCTGTAAAGCCCTAGTCCTCCTTACCTCATCAATTTGAACTAATAGATGGTTTCTTCTTTCTTGAATTCTAAAAATCACAGAAGTAGATACATTAACTATTAGAACTAAATTCACATAAAAGAAAGCATGAAAGGCATAAAATCAAAGAATTCACATGCTAGAAAAAATAACAAGGGCACAAGAATGTCAAAAAATAAAAATAAACTTGAGAAATATTTCCCAAATACATACTAAAAAAAATTAAAGGCTCGAAGCAATGGTGTAGCATATATCCCTACTGAATTACCAATTACATGATCCCATTTAAAATTATACCACTTACACAGTCATCAAATTTACTATTTTAGTTCAGTTTTTCTCAATAATTTTTAGCCTTGAAGCTAGAATCCTAATTAGGACATAAAGGTGTAGATCAATATAAATCACAATAAAAAGCATAATAAGGGCATGAGAATAACAAAGAAAAATTGAAACATATAAAAATATTTTACAGATGAATGCTCGACCATAACTTAAAGCTTCAAGAAATATGTATCATTTATCCTTGATTAAGAATTAATTTCACTAAAACATTTAAAACTGCAGTGCCTACACAACCAATAAATTTAGTAATTTACCATTCCAGCATAGCTAAAACAAAAAGTTTATATCTCATAACTAGAACCTAATTAAGACCAAAGGCACCATAAGGTTCAATTACATAAGCCTCTTCCCTTTTTGTGTGCCCTTGTAGGCGACAGTGATCCTAAAATCACTAAGATGATTACAGACTAATTAATCACTCTTAACAAAGATAATAAAGCTTCATTACCTATTTGATCCAAATGCATTTAGTTTTAATAGTTTTTAATAGAATCTTAAAAGCAATTGCAATGTGTCACATCATAATGCATATATATATAGATATAGGGAGCATGAGTGCTATTTGGCTAGGGGATGAACAAGAAAGTGAATCAATGTAGTCGAACGAAAGAGGTAGCTAATCAAGAGACAAAGAGCAAATATGAGAGAGAGTTTGAGGGAAGCTTTGACAGGATTCTAGCTGTCAACAATGAGGGCAAGCAACAAAGAGCAATTTAGTTGTGATCGAGTCTTGTGAAGCAATCAAGTTGAGGAAACTCAATGTGTAAAACCCGAAGTTGGTCAGGCATGTGCCACTTTTGGTTTAATTTTAATATACTCCAAAATCTCAACTTTTTCTAAAATCATTAATAAGCATGTCATTGAGTTCTACTTGTCGAATGGAGTAAATTGTTGTATAGAAGTGTATGCTAATTTACAATGAGGTGGAAGTTATTGAATTAAATCTCAATTAAATAAATTCTTAAAGTTAAACTATACATTACTGTTCCAATATAAGAATTACTGTAGCTGGGCAAAAGTTTCGCTGGCTGTAAGCACTTTGGGCGACATTCACAAGCGGATAGCAGAATTAGTTAGGTAATTTAAATATTTGCTTAGGATAAATTAATATCCCTATAGCTAATTGAGGGTATTTTGGACTCTTCACGCTACAGTGGTGGAATCGGGGTTGGGAGATGGAGCAAGTAGCCATGGGAGTATTTGAGCGGGGTCGGGTACGTAGTGGAGGCGTAAGTCTGCGATGCTGAAGTGTTAAGGGGGTTGACTAATGGTGAGTTTAGTAAGGAAATTAAATAAAAGGGAAGAGAAAAGAAGAAAAAACTCAGGGAAGGAGGAGAGAAAGAGAAGGGGAGGTAAGTATGCCCTTAGGAAAAGAAAATGCTATTGATTATATTTAACATTTGTAATTTAGAAGTGTTATGTTATGGATGAGGATATTCATAATTCAGGGGATGTTGATATATATATATATATATATATAGTTGTGTATGTGACGTGAAAACATGACGATATGTTGTGAACCAAATTACCAGTATGAGTTGAATAGTAGTTAGTGTGAATTGTTAATAATGACTTCAACTTATTAGGTGTCCTACATGCATCGGAGGACACAAGGGGTCCTAATTGGTTAGTTTGCGAGTCCAAAAGGTAAGATATCTAATAATTGTGTTAAATATGGTATGTAAGCGAACATTTTTATATGAATATATATGTGCATTAACTAAAATAGTAACATGAAATTCACTTTTATATTTCACTTGTGAAACTGGTCTGAATTGTTGTACATAGTTATTGCCATTAATTAGGAGATGTGTAAATGTTTGATGTTATTTGTTTTGCCATTGTGTTAAATTAAACATGTAAAATATGCAGTTAAACCCTCTTATACACTGATATACCACACAATCATGTGGATTTATTTGAATTGCTATACTTATGCCTAGTCAAAAAACATGTAACATACATAGGAAATAAAGAAAAAATAAATAAAACAATGATAAAAAAAGCCCGAGTAAATGTTAGGTTAGGTGGTAGGTTCGTGGGGGCAGTGCGACCCCAATGGTGAGTGCGACCTAGTGAAGGCTAAATATGGGAAAGCTTGTGAGCTTTAATATCATTATGAGGCCCAAGGATTAAAAAGCCTACGGGCTATAGAGCCTATAGAGGCAGTACAACCTCAGGAGCCTACAAGTAACAGATTTAGACATTCTAACATGACACCTCTTGTCTAACAATGACACCTCTTGAAGTTGACAAGGGGAAGTTAAGAAATGAATGAAATTTACAATGATGATGGTATGGTTTATATATCCAGCACAATCAGATTGGGCGCACAATGATGTTATCAGTAATTATATAACATGAAGTAGAATGAGAGATTTAGGTGAGCCTAGTACTATCATATTGCAGTTTACATATTACATGCCATGCAAATTCTTTATTATAGTTATTACTACCTAGTTGTACATTTCTCATTTATTGTTGTTATAGCCTCGAGTTACTTACATTCTTTGAGCACACATTGAATATTTGTCCACGCTAATGTTATTAGTCCTTATATTGATTATTGTAATATGATTGCATATCTTATTGGGTATCGTAACTCACCAGATTATTATTCTGGCTCTTTTATAAGAAAGGAGAAAGACAAGGTTGAGTTAGATTAGTAATAGTTTTAGTTGTGTTTTAAGTGTACTTTTGTCTTTATAAGAAAGGACTGGATAGAGGCCAGTGGCCATTAATAGAAAATGTTGTCCTCTTCTGTATCTGTTTTGTACATAGAAAATTTTTGGAGATAAAATTTTGGATTACTTCTATCTTTACTTGATGTTTCAGGGTATGATATCTTTTATAATACTTCACTTAGATGATCACAAACTGTTTCAAAGTGTAATAGAAGAGTAAATATTTTCTTATAGCCTCTGTTGCAGCCTACATCACCGAGTTAAAGAGGGTCGACTTGGGGCGGTGTGGGGTGTGACACAATGACTAAGGTTTGGATGAGGTGAGGAGGGACATTAAGGCTTGGTCTCATCGTCATCTTTTTCTTCCCAAAATATCTTCCTTTTGATGTGTTTAAGTCTTAAATCCTAAACTTAATTCTAAATCTTTCCTTAGTAAATATAATGTATGATGATGTACCCTATATATTTATAGGATGAAAAAATATTTGATGAATGAAGGAAACTAAGAAAACTTGTGGGAAATAATGTTTTGCTTCATAAATTCATCATAGATCCAATGATGTATTACTCCATAAATTCATCACGGATCTATGGGTAATAATATAAGAATTCAAATTGAAAGTAAGAAAACTAATTAAAAAGATAGCCATGGTAGTATACAATCTAGCCTACACGTGCATTTAAATTGTAGTTTAAAATTTTAAATTTCAGTCTATGTTCTAATGATAAGAAACTATGGTAAGAACAATGAATGATAATGTTGTATAATGAGATTCAAAAAAATTAAGTTTGTATGCCTTATATGTGCCATTATGTTTGGCTTAATAGAAATTAAGAATGATGAATAAATGTTCAAGAAAACAAGTCAATTAACCTAATCTATTAATGTGGTAAGTACATTTCTAATTAAGAGCATCATTTCTTTCTTCGCATTTGGACTATACCTGTTTATTCAAAAGCTATGCCAAGATTTGTTCTGATCCAATCATGTGGTAAGCACATTTCTAATTTGTAAGATACATCCAATACTAGATTTCCCTAAGAGTTTTCTTAACTCCTATGATCATTTTATTGTTCATGAAGTTGATCTCCAAATGCTATATCCTTTTGTTATGATTGTGTAATGCAATTCCAAGTTAAGTTCTATTATTGATAAAACTTTCGCAAGAAAATGTGTATAATATAAATATATATATATATAACACATACATGCATGCTTGTGCTTGCGTATTGTAAGAACCGGTTTACCCTGGCTGGTTCAATTGAACTGGCCGGCCAATTTCTAATAATATCCCGCGACATACAGAGGTAGAACAACGCCTGGAGCGGACCGATTGCGGTCGCGTGCGAGTTTGGATGGCTCGATTCGCAATTCTGAGCGAAGGATTGAGTGCGGGACCCTCCTCTTCTTTCCTTATCGCTAAAGAAGCGAAAATAGGAAGAATTGTCTTGGAGGCGGCTGAGAGGAAATTAGCAAAAGTTTGTTGCATTTTCCCAATTTTTTGTATACATCCTTTCCTAATTCTTCATCTAAATAGTTAGGGAAATTTAATTGAAGGCAAAGGAAGAGATTGAATGTGGAAAGGAAGAAATTGAAGGAAACGGAGGAAGTTTTTGGAAAAGGAAGAAGAGAAGTATGAAGAGGAAGAAGAAGAGTGAGGAAGGCATGTTCATTGATTTTTTTTTTTCGTGCAAATTATCATATAATTTCTAATCTAAGCAAGAAGAATGTTCAGTTAAAGGTAAAGAAAGAAAATCTAGAAAAGAGAAAGAAGAATTTGGGCTTTAGTTTGAGTTTATAAACTTTCATTTCTCGTTTCTTTCATTGAAGATATAATAAGAAATATATTTTGATTTTTATGTTGGAAGAATCCAAATGATATAAACGTTGATTCGACGATAGAGGAAGGAAGAAATTTTTAAGGAAGGGAGAACTGTTGTGAGGTAATTTTATATAAATAGTAGAAGAAATGAAATATTGTTATTAATAATAATTGAGACATTCAAATTTGGAATTTAAATTTTGATGTTATAGTGAATAGTTAAAGGTTATGATACCAAGACGAATATTGAAAGAGGAAAATAAAGTAGGTAATTTATAAATTTAATATTTTTGTTCCATTCAATTGCTTTCATGTTTCCTTTAATTATTGCAATTATTATGTGTTACATGAATGATATTAATGGAGAGAAAAAAAAATTTATGAGAATGTGAATTAGCATTTTATGGAATATATTGTATAGATTACTATAAAAGGTAATAGAAATGAAATACTGAATTATGATCTAACTGAAATTGAAGAATTAAAATATGGCAAAGGTATATGCATGAAAAATACAAAGTTCACCCCCGTATGGTATTGGCTGGGGAAGTAATATACTCATGTACGATAAATAGAAATGAAAAAGGAAATGAAAATAGTTGTACCTTTGGTATATTTAGACAGTGCTCCTGTACAAATTGACTTGAAAAATAAATAAATGTTAAATATTCTATTTAATAAAAGGTATATGATATGAAATGTATAAAGGAATGAATGAATAAAATGGAAAACGAAATGTGTATACTAAATGTTATATGACTATTTATATAAGTTTTAATATTGCATATGAAATGAGAAAAAGAATATGCATTTTATTTTTCACATCTTTAATTGTTATAAATATAGAAAGGTTGCCCACTGAGTTTATATTGTAAACTCAACACATTAAACTAATAATTTCAGGTAAGTCTCCAAGAAAATAGAAATGATTGAAATAAAAGAGAAATACATCTATAAAAGATGGCAAACAAATGCAAACAGATAATGTTAAGTATATGAAAGATTTGATGAGTGGATTGATAGAAAATTTGTGATAGTGGGCCTTCAATTGAATAGCGATGTTGCAGTTTTTTTTTTTAATTGAATGGAATGTTACAATTGTTCGTTCTTTTTGTTAGTGCCTCGTTAATTCGAGTATCCAGACCAAGTCGTGACTAGTGGTTGTTAGGCACATTCTCATTGTTGTGAATAGCTTGTGCAAATTGGGGATAAATCGGCTATTGACAAGTTATGCTTATGATTAAGTATAATTATTAGGGCTCATTAGACAAATGTATAATTATTTACATTGTAATTTAAAAGCTGCTCCAAACAAATCCTAAGATGTTTGCGGAAAGTGACTAAAGAGTTTTCATCCATAAGAAGGTTATATAAAGGAACAAAGTTTATATATTTTATTTTAAAATGAGATACATTGGTGCAAGTTATAAACACATTAGAGATTTTTGGTAGTTAAGCTCTTGTGAAGGAAGCAAAAAGTTCGATCACTGAAGAAAATTAAGAAAAAAAAAAGATACTTATAATTTCTTTAATTAAAAATAGAGTGTGTCACATACAATTTTAATGAATGTAAAGTTGGTGTGCTAATTTCCAGTTCTTTGAATTTATTTAAAGGAAATCATGTAAGTGTATATGAGAGCATAAATTATAAAGTTAAGGCTTTGTGATTTTAAATTAGAAGAGTTTCAAGAGTAGTACAAACTAAGATAATATCATAGAGAAATAAAGATAATTTTTTTATAAAACTACAATTAACTTGATAATAATCTATGAATATGAGCGTTAACCAACCACTGGCAGACAAGTTGATTATAATAGAGATAAAAGATGTTAAAATGAATGTGCTATAGAGTTAAGATATATTGAGTAAGAAATGATTATTAGAGATGTCGGAAAATAAATTGAGGTGATTTGATCTTCTATAATAAAAGGCATATACGCTGAGAGGTGATTTGTCATATATAATATAGGAAGATTAAAAAGCAACCTTGAAATAGGATAAGTTTAATGATGATGATGATGATGAATGCCTCTTAGGCTCTTACAAATTAGATACCCACTATTTAAGAAAAATGCTTAGATTTTATTGATTGCTTCAAACTCATCAAATGGTGTAAAGAATTTGTTTTAGCAAAAGAAACGTAGGAACTGAAACAATCATTTCTAAGTCCATTATAAAAAACATTATGGACATGAAATTGTCAATAACCTATCTTGAAATAATAGTCAAACTGATTAAGGTTTATATATAATAACTCCAGAAAAACTTACCCTGTTCAATAATCTGTAAAATAAATAAAAAATACCATACAAGTTTACCTCCTCCGTTGGAGCTGTAGCTCTGTTTCTCCAGCACCACTAATAAAACCACGCCCACCACTTCCTCTCCTGAAGTTAACAATCATATAAAAAATATTTACTACTGGAAATAGAGAACTTTATGCACTTGTATTATGCCAACATATGCTTTCGGCGGAAATGCAGCATATAATTATCATTTAAAGCAATATTTCATAGGAAGAACGGTCACTTCATTATACTAAAAGTTTGCATATGTATGCTCCATTTTTCTTAACTTACGTTAAACATGAAATATCCACCTGAACCATCAAAAGATAATAATCATAGATCCTACATATGCTATACTTACCCACGGCCACTGACAACCTCAGCTTCACCATTTATTCCAAAAGTAAGACGTCCATGTGAACCCCGCACTCGAACAAGACGACTCCTCTTGTACATGAGGGCTGCTAGTTCAGACTGTAAAATAGAATAGGAAAACTTCACCATAATTCCAATATCATTTCTCAGCACATGAGCAATAGTCTAGGAAGCTGATAAAATGACATCCTTGATTGTATCCAGACGGATGTAAGAATCAAGCTAAAAAAAAGTGATAAAATGCCGGAAAAGAAAGAAACATTAAATTTGCAGAAATTGAAAAACCTGCAGCTTTGCCTCTTTGGTCTCCGCATGGGAATTGAAGATCTCTATAATGAGGCCAACACGATCCAAAACTGGCTTTCCCCAAGAAATCTATCAACATGTTCGAGAGTGAATCCAATATATTAGCCGTTGATGATGCATCAGTCTAAAATATGAAACTAGACCAAGATAATCAGAGCATTAATTTGGCTTGCCTCCAAATTGCGCTGTTGGATCCCAGAAAGAGTTGCATTCACAAAAACAGCATCTATATGATCCTGTTATAGCTAAAAAAAAGTTTTAGTAAGAGATCATAAATTAGTCCCAGCATAATGATAGAACTTTCTTAAACGCCCTTCAGAGAATAAAAGAATAAATTAATTAATCATAAAAAATTGGGAATCTCAATTAATAAAAACTATTTTCTCAACCATAGTTTCTACTCTATTTTTCAAAAGCATCTCCTCTAAATTTGGATAAAACCAGAGAAAAAACCATACAGTTTCTTCATCCAAATGGACACTTTCCTATCGCAATTTAAAAAAAGTTGACTCAAACAAATAATTAAAATAAAGTAAACCTCTTTATGCAGATATCACTAAAGCACCAACAAAAGATAAAATAATTACATGGCATGAAGGTATAACATCTCAGTTTCTTCTTAAAGTAATAAAGTAAAAAATAATAACTGAGATACAGAAAAATTTCATATATAAATAGATAGAACATGAAGTAGAAAATTTCTTTCTCAAAATTTTCATCTTTGAAGAATGTATAAACATCTAATCACTTATAAGAATGGATATAAGAAAACTCATATTCATTATTTTCTTATAAGAAAAATAGATCGTTTAGATTGCAAATATTATAAAGTTATTCTGAGTGAAAGTTTATGTACCCAACATCGCTTATTAGTTTTGGACTTTAAGATGAAGAGGCAGAATATTAACAACAACATCAACATCAAGCCTTTATCCCACTACGTGGGGTCGGCTACATGAATCCTTCTTCTCCATTGTGTCCTATTAAAAGTCAAATTCTCGTTTAAATCTAACAAAGAAAGATCATTCCTAAGGGGCAGAATATCAAAAATAAAGTAATTCGTTGTTCTAGGATTAGATAAAAGCATTTAAAGAATATTAACAAAAATATTTTTGTGAGTAAGATACTAGATCTTAAGATTTTATCTGTGCATGAGGAAGCTAATGCTATGTGGTAAAAAGTAACTCGTGATATTAAAAATATTGCAAAAGATGTGCTTGGAGGGAAAAACTACAAATAGTAAAAATAATTGGTGGTGGAAAAAAAAATGTGCAAGAAAATATAAAAAATAAAAACATTTGTTATAAAAATTTATTTAGCTGTAAAAACTCTGATAATTGAGAAATATATAAAGATGCCCATAAAGAGTCTAAGAAAACAATTTGCAATGCAAAGATTTTAGTTTTTAATGATTTATATAATAGATTGATACTAATGATGACGAAAGATATATGTATAAGTTAGCTAAACAAAGATATATGAGTAGTAAGAATTTAGTTCAAGTGAAGTTTATTAAGGATGAAGATAAAAAAATGCTTTTATAATAAAAGGATATTTAACAAAGGTGAATGAGATATTTGACTAAACTTTTTAATGAAGATTATGAAAATGAAATTGACTTTAATGATGTTAGCAACCTAAATGAAAATAAAGAATTTTTCTTTTATCGGCGTATTAGTAAAACCGAAGTTAAAGAGCCTTTAAATAAAATTAAGTGTGGAAAAGCTGTTGGACCTGATGATATTAAAACAGAGGTATGGAAATGCTTAGGAGATGAATAAATTTCTTAGCTTACTAAACTTTTTAATATTATTTTGAAGATTAAAAAGATGTCAGATGAGTGGAGAATGAGAGAGAGTTATGGAGCATAGGTTGCGGCGTGACATTAATATTTCTCAAAATCAATTTGGATCATGCCAGGTGCATCTACTATGGAAGCTATACATTTACTGAGAGGTTTGATGGAGAAGTATAGAGAGAATAAGGAGGATCTACATATAATTTTTATTGATTTAGAGAAAACATATGATAAAATTTCAAGAGAAGTGCTATGGAGAGTTCTACATAAGAAATGGGCTAATAATACTTATATTCAAGTCATTCAGGATATGCATGGAGGAGCTATTACTTGTGTTCATACACAAGGTAGTTTGACCAAGTATTTTCCTATTTCAGTTGGAGTACATCAAGGATCAGCCTTAAGCCCATATCTTTTTGCTTGGGTCATGGATGTTCTCACTAGACATTTGTAAGAGGTTGTACCCTAGTGTATGCTTTTTGCTGATGATATTCTTTTTATTGATTAGAATAGAGAGGGAATTGAAGGTAAACTTGAATTATGAAGGTCAACCTCAAAGTCTAAAGGCTTTCGTTTGAGTAGATATAAAACTGAATATATAGTGTAATTTTAGTGATAATAGATCTAGTGGGGGGATTGTGACTTTGGGCGATCAAGTCGTTAATAAGAGCACATGTTTTAGATATCTTGGGTCTATTGTTCAGAGTGATGGTGAAATAGATCGGGATATTATTAGTAGAATCCAAGTTGGATGGTTGAAGTGAAGGAATGCATCGGACTTAATATGTGATAGAAAAGTCCCTCTCAAACTTAAGGAAAAATTTTATAAGATGGTATGGTACTGAGAACTACAACGCTTTATGGTGCAGAATGTTGGTCATTAAAAGAGAAGTACAATATTAAGTGGTATGGTATGTTACATATATGAGGATGCTCGGTGGATGAGTGATTTTACTCTTAAAGACGACATGATACGAAATGAACATATACGTGAAAAGGTTAGAGTAGCTCCAGTGGAAGATAAGATTAGAGAGAATTGTCTTAGATGGTTTGGTCACATAAAGCGGTGGCCTTCCGATGACCCAGTTATAAAAGTTGATGTATTAGATTTGACTTATATTAAGAAATGTAGAGGTAGACCTAAAATACTTGGTTAGAAAATATTAGAAATGACCTTGTTTTTATTAGATTTAGATGAGAATTTGATCCTTAACATGACACAATGGAGAAAAAGAATTCATGTAACCGACCCCACATAGTGGAATAAAGGCTTGTTGTTGTTGAAGAATGTATGAACAAAAGAGAAAAGAAATAGATAGAGCACCTCTGATTCCAAAGCCTTAAGATGTGTTTTGATATTTTCCACAGTTCCAGGTCCAAAGTAAGTATCTGATACAATCATTGCAAACAAATCATCAGTTCCAATATCAACAACGGTCTAAGTTCTTGCAAAACAGTGGCCTTTTACAAGAAACAATAATCCAACAAAATTGTGAATAGAGAAAACAATGGCTCAGAATTACCATGTACAAAAAGTCATGCAAATAAAATATCTGTCAAAAGAGGAATACACAAGCCATTGAAGTTCAATCAATCCATAGCCTAATCCTTAAAAAAATAAGCATGTCAATATATTTCTCATGGTTAGATAAGTAATTTACACTCATTAATGAAACAGAGAAAGGATGAACTCCTAGAAAGTCATGCTCACATAGTGCTACCAAACATTATCAACAGAACTTGCAGTTCCGGCATCTATTCATTATTTCAACATCCGTTATGACTTATGCCACTTTTAATCCATCACATTGAATGCCGGCCACCTATCATTTTGGGAAGATTTATATAGCTATCCAAGAGAATCGTTTTTGGTGTGGGGTATAACAAGGTCCAGGATTTCTTCACAAGTCAAATTCACAATTCATAATTTAAAAAACTAGTCATCCTTTCAGAAGAAAACAAGAAATACATAAAATCCGTGCCAAAAATAATTTAAAAGCCATCTAACAGAAACCTTGCATTGAAATTCAGGATCTTGAAACAATTGCACAGTCAATCAAAAACTCAAAAATGAAGTTGTATTAGATTTAAATATAATTAGTCACATCACAAAACAAATCATTAAATTAGAGAATAGAAAAAGATAAGAGATAATCACATTGAAAAACAAGACTTCACATAGGTACAAAGATATAACTTCCCCAGAAATTTTGTGAGGTTATAAGGAGTCCCATCCAACCAGAAATTTGTTGCATCAGAATAGAAATCCATATATAGCGCTATTAAATCCTCACAATGCCCAATTATATTCACAAACATTCCTTAATTAAAGTTAAAAAGTCAAAAGATAAAATCAATAACCTTATCCCGAGCTAAGAAACCTCCAAACTGCATACAACAAAAGACAGAAATGGAAGGTATCCACTACTCATGGTTTGCTACAGTACACGGAATATTGCAATGGAGCGTAAAGTCACAGGTTGGTAAAGAGCTATAATACCCATAAAATTGCAACAACGCCAAAGCAGAAAGGTACAAAAATCGGGTAGTAAATGAGATCACATGGAACTGTAAGCCCATAACAAAAGAATTGCCAGGGAACGAAAGCACCTTAACTAAGAAAACAAAAGGCAACCCAAAGTCTCGTAATAGATGACTCCCAGAATGTAGTCCCCTAGCTTCAATTGATGTGACTCCTATCATTTTTCTAATTTAATTATTTCAAACTGAATCCTTCCTAATTTTAACAAAAATCCATTTTTTTCTTTTATTTTTAAAATACTTAACTTGCCTATCAATGACTTCTTAATCATCAAAATTTTAATCCCTAAGAGGTAGACATCAAAATGTAATTCAATAAAATTACCTTTAAATCATGCTACTAGCCCTTATAGAAGAATACTCATTATTTACTAATTCATTCTAATCACTTAGTCTTAACTCTTAAGTCCTCAAGATCTACACAATTGAACGAAGCCCAGTTTGAGTTTGATTCATTAGTTTTTTTTCCTAGTTTGCATGCAATTAATGTTCGCTAATGTTTTATATTTCTTTCTTTGTATTTGATATTTTGATTTAATATTAACTTGTTCATGAACGTAAAAAAAAAAAAAACATATCAATAAAAAAAAACGATTTTTATTACTTTAACTAAAAAGAAAAAGAAAGAAAGAATCAAACACCAAACCTCTTAACAAAAGTAAAACAAACACTTAACACCATATACAGCCTTGCAACATGATTTTGCTTTTGCATTATTTTGACCAAAATTTATATAGATATTGTCATGATCCGACCATGATGCTCGACTTAACAAGGCGGGAACTAAAAGATGGTAGAATTAATTTAGTACAATTTATAAGCAATACAACATACAACTTTCTCATTTCAACTGAAGAGCCACTATATACACATAGTCCAAAATCCAATCATTCACCTTTCGAAAAAAAACTTAAAATTAACATTAGTCGATTTACATGTTTTTATTATTGCGTTGTCTTCTATAAACAAACTCTTCCCTTAGGCCATTTCTAATTATCGAGATTTGCCTAAAACATTAATTTGGTGGGTTGAGTTTACTAAGTAAACTCAGTGGGAATTTTTTTTTACATGTAAACAATTTAACATGGATAAGTACAATACACATAATCTTTGATATATGTCTATTCATTTGACAGTTAATATACATTTTCTTTTTTTGTTTCGTTTCATTTTATTCATTCATTTATACATATCATATCACATTCTTGTATAACATTTATAACACTATAATAATTATTCCTTTTCCACTTTAACATATATTCATTTTTTCGATTTCATTAGTACAGGAGCACCGTCTAAATGTATCAATAAAGGTACAATCATTTTCATTTTCATTTTCTTTTCAATTTAGCGTGCACAGGTACATTGCTGTAAAACCCCTCCGATGCTGATTTTTTTGAGTGCTGTTAGTCCGGACGAACTGGCCTTAGTACGGGACGAACTGAAGAAAATTGTGAAGAAATATGTATGGTTCGTCTGGATGAACCTGTAAGGGTCGGGACGAACCGAACAGAGAGTTTCGTCCAGGGACGAAGAAAATTGGAATTAATTTCGTCTAGACGTTTTGAGATTAATCAGACGACTATATAATCATAAAATATTTATACCTTCAGCATTTGTAATTTATGCAAATACTCAAATATTTAGAAGACTGTATGCATAAAATATAATCATGAAATAACATCATTTACCCACTTTAGTTTCCTTTTCCAATCTTCGTCTTGTTTTGAGGATATTTAACTCACAATAGTTTTCCTTTCTTGTTGAATTCTTGAAGAACCTAACTCCTTCAACTTGATTTCTTTCCCTTTTTAAAATTTCTAAAATTAAATAATATAAATTTTCATGAAATGTGATTTAATAACAAATTTAATAAAAAATTTATGATAGGAATTTTACTAACAAAAAGGGATTTTCCAAATCCCAAAATCTTTCTCTTTCTCTCTCAAAATCTATTCTTCTTGCTTCCAAATTGCTTTCTCTTCCTTTAATAAAACATCATTTACTTTAGGTAAAGCAAAACAAGAAAATTTTATGAAAAATGAAGGAAGAAATTCAATAACCTGCTTCCCTTTTTCTCCTTAGTCGTTTCTCTCGTTCGTTGAAATTTCTACCAAATTTATCACTTCTTTAGCGATAGGAATAAAAAGGAATTGTTAATTCTTATCTTTAAAGACAATCGTTTGCTAAAATTGAAAAAATGGAACTCACCGCACGCTCTCGCATGAAGCCGCCCGTCCGCCCCTTTTATTTTGCGAACGCCCTTATTCGCCCTCATGTTCGCGGTTATAAAAGGATGACCGATCGGTCCGGATGAATTGGTTTTTACAGATATTTGATATTTAACTATGTATATCTTAATGAGCCAAACACAAACAAACAATGCTTTGCTTGTGTTTGTTTTTTTAAGAAATTGATCATAAATATTGTGTTCATATTCAGCTTGTTAGTTAACAAACAAACAAGTCAAACACAAGTTGTTCGTAAAAATTGAGTTGGATGGACACCTCTGTTAGTCTATTGATATAACCATATTTTTTATGATAGATTCGAGATATTTAAACCATCATACAAGATATCCTTGCTCTTTTAACAATACTAACTAGTAATTATAAATATCATATACATTAAATAAATATATGATGTAATTAATTTTCATTATAATAATCCTACGCACCTAATCTTCTAAAGGTTTCCTCCATTGTTCTGACTTTTCATTTCAACTGATGTCTCAATAATCAGTATCATGTCATCTCAAACAGTATAAATCACGTTACCCAACTTTGAGTATGGATATATGTTCTCCTTCATCCACTTTATCAATTCTTGTGACATTCAATCATATGTTGTCTTCAAGAACATAAAGACCTTATGATGATCATTTCATTTCTCTCTATATTTATCATTAATTTCTCTATCATGAAAATTGTATCATTAGTGGATCTTATTGGTATAAAAAGAAATTTGATTATTCAATAACAACATAATTTTCAAAGTCTACATTCCAACATTGTCTACTATTACTTCATTATATGAATTATTAGTGTAATTTCCCAATAAATATTAAATACCACATCCTAGAGTATCTTTTGTTCATAAATACAAGTACAAAATACTTGTTCTCCAGTCATTTGACACTATAAATTTTTAAAATCTCATAAATGGATTTGATAACCAGACAACTCAAATATATCTTCTAACTCAAATGAATTTTTTATTTTGCTTTTATGCGTCTTCTTTAAAACTAAAGTTCATTTATAGAAAACTTCATGGTTCCAATAATTTTCCTAGTCCTTATTAAAAAATGTCATCCCTAAAATTCTTATTTATCAAGGTTTTATTATCAATCTTCCACACAATTTTTATATTTAACAAAAATTATAATACGTACACTCTTAGTACATCTAATTGGTTTGAAATTTCTAGATCTCCTTTTTCTTAACTTAAGCATTTATAAAAGAGATAAAACGAGGAAACAAGATGAAAAAATGTGGAACACTTAAAAAAAAAATTTGGAGCATTCAACCTGAAACTTCCAGTAGTTTATTTGTTTATTTATTTTGCTATTTTTACTCCTAAGATAGCTCCCTACTTATTGAAGTGTTGTTCTTCTAACAGCTAAGCAGAATGGCATTCTTCTCATATGAAATTGGCAGTTACGAGTTAACCTAATCTTGTTGTAACACCCCAGATACTTTGCGCAAGAGTATTCATAAATGTATATTTTTGTTATTTCTCTTAAGCAAGTTTCTGCGCTTATAGCTTTCTTTTCTATCTTCCCCAAAATGGGCGTTTTCCATTAAAAGCTTTGCCTATGTTTCTACTGATTGCTTAATTTGGTTTCATAATGGTTTGGCACTTTCGCTGGTGATATTTGAGCCAAAGGAGCAGCTGCATTTTTATAAGATTTTATAGCTATATAATGTCACTACTTTCAAGCACACAACTCTGTGTCACTTCAAAGATATAAAGTTATGTTCTTATTACTAACAAGTAGTTAAATTTGCGGACATCTTTTATATAAATAACAGTAAAGTTCGATTATATAAATAAATAAATGTCAAACTATCTTAAATCCTATAATAGAAATATAATTTCAATCATGTTGCCATCTTTTAATGAAAAAATATTGAATTAAATACACAGCATTGTACGTGACATTCATTCAAAGCAATACTAACATTTATATAATACTAAAAAAAAAAAGCTCCTAAAATGACTTCCATCCTTCACGAGAGAAGCAAACAAAAAAGTATGAATGCACGCCAATAGCCACTCTAAAAACATCAGGTGAGAAAATTAATTCAGAAACGGGAGCAGGAAGGGACAAACCCGCATGAGACTTGGAGGACCTGGCAATGGGGTTCTGCACAACAAGGTGTGAAGGGATCTGCTTAGGGGTAAGATCCTCCCGAAAAAACCCGCCACGCGGCTCCTCGAGTGACTTGGTGAGGTTGAGTGCTTCCGAGAGCTTCAAATCCAGGATAGAGTCAGGGCGGAGCCGCGGCTGCACTACGAACAGCCTTGGCGGGCTCTGCGGATCGTTCCCGAAAACGAAGACGCCGGGAACAACATCGTCCTTCTCTTTTCCAACATCCCGCTCCTCGTCGATTCCCTTCCGCTTCCGAGAAGACGAGAATGGGGCACAAAACGGCGAAGGCGAGTTTGTCCGAATCGGGCCCCTTCTGGTGAAGACGGGAACGAGATTGAGGGAGCGGGAGAGGGAACAGATAGGTGGTCGGAGCCGAGAGAAGATTCTCAGCATATTTTCGTTATTCTCCGATGTCCAAAACTCCAAATGTGCCCAGCTACTTAAGAGCCCGAGCGGTCCAGTCAACCCATATATGCATTAATAATCGTAGCTTTTTTTTTAATTATTTTTTTTTGGGACATTTAAATCAATTAAGATAAACTCATACACACAACGCATACACAAAGACTTGAACCCAAGACCTCTAAGTTGGAAGCTTAAGCTCTCAACCAACAAGCCAAGATGAGTTGTGTTTTTAATTATTTTGTAACTAAGGCAAGCCGGCTTATAAGCTGATTTCTAGTTTGATTTAATAAATGATTTGTAATTTAAATTTGACTAACTAACAAGCTAATCAAAGCCGGCTTCGACTCAACTCTTGAGCTCATATGTTAATTGTTTTAAAAAATATTAATAGAAAATATTCTTAAAATATATAAAATGAGAGAGATGATGTCTTGAATTTAATTAAAGAAGGATTACGACTTTTATATTCATTATCATCTTGGTTAAGCTAATATAGTCGTAGAGACTTTGACCAATAAATATTCACCTTGTGCCACTACATAGATCAATTAAGAGCGATAATTAGTGTTTGAGATAGAGATTTAGGGTATATTTGAGACAGCTTTCTTTATTTGATTTTTTTAGGCCACAACAATAAATTAAATTTAGATATTATTTTCTTAAGAAATTGATTTTTGCAGGAGCTTTAAAAAAAGTTAATTTCTCCATGATTACTTTACAACAACCTTTACAAAAAAAAAAATTACAGCAATCCCAAAAAGTCCCTTAGTGACTTCATCTTGAAATAATACCTCCATTAAATAGCTCTGTAATATATCAAATGATCATTCAACCAATGATAGTGGATAACTTTGTATAGCTTTGATTGCAGACATTAACTTGATCCAGCTTAGAGAGTACATTCATAATATATTAATACTCAAGTTCATTAGTCATTGTATAGAGTATCGATCCCACGAGATAAAATATTTACTTGCAAATACTAATATTATCTACTTCAACTACAACAATTATCCTATTTAATAAAAATAAATTTTTGTGGAGATTCTAACACTTAATTTGAAATCAGAAATAATTAAATGTAACACTATTTTGTTAAATTATTTTGGATTGATGGAATATATATAGTACTGCACTGAATTATTTTAGTTGTCACTCCTAAGGATGAGAAACACCATAAAGACTGAAATTAAACAAGTGATTGAACTCCTCTACTAACAATATAGACAAACCATTTATAGAAAAATACAGAAAAATGATTCTAGCGCTGCGGCGGTGTCAATGATGATGCCACGACGATATTGTGTCCGACGCCACGCCGTTATACTATACTTAAAAATTTTGCTCCTTTCTTGTATTTTCCTACACAAATACCACTAAAATAAATATATTTTCACTAACAAATTAACAAATAAAATATAACATTTTTTACACTTGTCATGAATAAATTTGGGTCGTAGATGATATACTTATAATTATTGAAAAATATTGTCATCCTCAACGGATTAGGAATGTGATAGAAAGGTCATGAGGAAATTAAAAAAATTCTGAAGGACAAAAAATATTATTTCGCTCTGAACTTAATAATAAAACTCATAATTTATATTTTAGCAAAGATTTTTCCTTATTCAATATTTAGTTGAATAAAATTTATTTTATTCTGTGATATATATGCCTCATAGGGGTAAGTAAGCCCCTATAATTAATGATATATCAAGCATTATTACTTGAGAATATTTTTGATTAAACTTGTGATTTATTTAAAGTCTAATACATATTGGCTAATATTTTTATTTTGAAATTTGAGAAATTTTTGTTCAAAGATTTGGTCTTTGAAAATTTCAAGGGTGATGAGATCAACTTTAAATCGGATTTTAGGAATGGAAGTCAAATAAATGAAAATATAAATGTACTTGATTCTAAGAAATCTCATAGGCACCCAAACTATCATATGTTGGGCTTTACATTTTAAAATTAGATTTTTTGATCAATTTGATTTAAAATATTGTGCTTTATATTTCAACAACACGGGTTAGAGGAAATGCCCGAAAAATTGTGGCCTAAAGAAGTGACTATAGTCAACTACATCCTTGAATCCTAGAGTTAAGGTGACAAACTATTGAGGGGTAGTATCTTGAATCTAATTCTAATGGAGTACAAGAAACTTAAAAACCTACTCCTCACATGAGGCATAATTAGCCCAATCTTTGGATTTATAGTCCTGTCTGAAAAGGGCTACCAACTAAACCCACATAATCGTTTTTAAAATCATGTCGTATGGTCTTAATGTGTATGGAGAGTAGGGAAGGCTATTTTAATTTAAAAGATATAACTTATAACTTGTCATTTAAGCCAAGATACTTGATCATGTAGGTATGCATATGCTAACTCACTAAATGCAGATTTTTGTTATCTAATCCTTAAGTGATTGCTTTCTTCATGTGACATATTGACCATACATGACCATTTTATTTTTAGAAACTTGGTTCATTAGAGTGAGCAATATAATTTTCTTTTTATTTAAAAAATGGGTTATCCTATGATTGATTTTAGATTGTTTTACATATTGATTAATAAAAAAAATTGTCTTGTCCTAAGAGTCTACCACATAATAAAGTATAAGCCACTCCTAAGCAAAAACAAGTGAAGAAACCTATGAAAAAATATATATTTCTAATACACGCTCAATAAATAATCAAAATATGTATAAAAAAATTAACTTATAGAAAAGTAACGTGTAGACTCCAATTATTGTAATTATAATTATTAGTTAAGTTGTCTGTCATTAAACAATTCAATCAAATTTTACAGACTCAGCCTATGAGATCTTCAAACTTTGACTTTTATATGCATCTAAGGCTTCACCAAGGTCAAGGGAGAGCTGGATCTTCCTCTAAAAAAAAAAAGCTTCACCAAGGAGGGGTCATCCCTCTAGTTCATACATCCTATAATTATACCCATTGACTTACAATAATTTTTAAGTTTAACAAATACATTTAAAAAAAATAAAAGATCCAAATATACAAAATAGAAGAGAATTAGAAAGCAGCTTATATAACGAAGAGCCATAAATATATTTAATGGGTTGTAATTGGATGATTAAAATTAATTCAAATGAAAACAATGTCTTCGATCCCTTGACTGCTATTGTTTTTTTTGTTTTTTTGTTGAAAACAATCTGGTTCTTGTGGTGAATTTTTATGTTTTATTTGAGGATTATTTGAATTGTTTTCAAAGAAGATTGATGGCCTAGTTAGCAATTATTTGTGCCCGCTCAATGAATAAAATCAAAATAGAATCAACTTGCCTCTCACCTTAACGAGGAATAAAAAGGTCTAAGGTGAGGAGTTTCAAGAAAAATATCTCCTAGTAACTCCAAATCAACTTCCAGGATTTGACATACTTCTTAAGAGAATCTCTAAAAGTATTCCTTAAGAATATTTCCATTATTTTGATGAATCCCACAAAATGGGAGGAGTGCTTAAAGATTTCTCATTTGCCGATGAATTGTTTGACGAAAACTCTAGCTAAATCAATAAAAGTATAAATAGTTATACCCAAGAGAGTAGAACTATGTACAAGCTTGTCCCTTAAGAGTTATGGGTAGACCTAGTAGAGGACTGAATCAAAAATATGTTTAATATGCATAACAATCCTATCGTGATCAATGTGCTGACAGAGAAGTCTCATAATATGCATCAATTGCTAGCAACTTGAACCCCAATAGAATATGATGAAAGAGAATTGCATCAATTAGAGGTGAATATTTTTTAAATAAGTTGATTAATTTAGGTTTCCTTTTAAACCAAACGTCCTAGCTCATATCTTATAACATTACAATGGATGTCAATAAAGTGATGTTGCTTTAAGTTCTCTATCATTGATGGAGGTTTACATATTAGCCGAGCAATACAGGAAGGATGAGTTACACTGATAGTGTCGAAGAGAACTTTATTAGGCTGAGGTGGAGGGGGAGCTACTATATAGGCAGGTAATACTTGAGTGGCACCAAATAGATCAACTTCAAATTGTTGTTAATTTTATGATGGGAGGTAATACTAAGTTCTTGTTTTCCTGTAAGCATTTGAATGCTAGTCATCTTTTTATGCCTTTTTCTTCATATGGCACTAAAGTGATAGCTAATATTGATGGTGATCGGACATTTATATGCCAAGATGCATTTATGACTGTCTCCATTCATAGCAGTAATAATTAATAACTGCTGATCATTTACCAGAAACAATGCTACCTCAATTGACATCGGAAGAATGTTGCAAACTAAAAGAGGAAATTCATCTAAGGTCCTTTAATGGAACTTCATTTGCTTTATTATAGTCAATAATTAGACCTCGCGCTGTGCGCTTGAGTTACAGTGCTAACAGATTATCCCACCAAAATTTTAATGTTCTTGACACAACAGAAACGTAGAACTATCAAGAGAAATCTCTCGAGTAGCCAAAATGAATAGATATCTGCCATACATTGATTTACCTCTTTCACAAGGAATCGTCTTCCTTCACTGAACTTCCACTCTGCGGCACCAAAATTTGCATCATACTAGGTCCACCTTCAACCCATAAGGACCCAAAATGTTAGCTTTATTGCCGCCTTGACAAGCTCGCCGTTGTCTGCCTTCTCTCCTCTTCTTCCTTGCCCTCTGCTTCTTCCTCTCCAAGTCCATCTCACCCCTCCTCTTATACATCTTAAAAGTAACATTCCTCTCTGCCGCCATTACTCTCACCTTCTCTGTGATCTCCGCCGCAATCTGCCGATTATAGAGCTTCTTTAACCCCTTCATTAGCTTCGCAAAAGTATCTGGTTGTGGCATGAGCCCCGCATCCATCATGTCCAAGCAGTAAGAACATGCCTCCTTCACATGCTTATTTGAGAACAGTGCATGTATCCATATGGTCCAAGCATACACATTGAGCTCACAACCCTTGCTCACAATGCAGGTCCACACATCCATGGCTAGCTCAAGCTTCTCAGCCCTCAGAAGAGAGTTCAACAGCTCTTTAAGCGTGCCATACTGTGGAGCAGAAAAAAGCCCTCTCACTACCATTTCCTTGAAGTATCCAGAAGCTTCGATGAGGAAACCTTGGTTGATAAATCCATGTATCATAATGATGAAGGTGTCAAGCCCAGGGCTAAGGCCACTGGCCTCCATCTCATTCCATATAACAACTGCTCTCTTCAACTCGGCCAATTTGCAGGACAAGCGGATTACCACATTGTAGATGCCAAGGTCAGGCAAGCAGCCAGCTTTCGACATTCTACTCATGAGCTCAAAGCACTTGTCGATATCCTCCTTAAGCTCGTGCCCAGTAAAGATGGGGAAGTATGTGCTAGGGTTAGGTGCACAGCCTTGCATTGCCATGGTATCCATTGCATCCAAGAACTCATAAGCTCGGTCTAGCCTTCCTGACTTGCAGAACCCAGAAATGAGAGTATTATAGGCTACAATATCCGGAACGCAGCCTCGACTGCGCATTTCTACAAACACTCTCATGGCATCGTCCAAGCAGTCCCTCGTACAGAGAGCCTGGATGAGAGTCGTGTATGAGATGACATTGGGCTCGCACCCTTTACGACTCATCTCGGTGAGAAGGGCGTAGGAATCTTCCATCTTACCGGCAGCAGCAAAGCCGGCTAGGAGAGTGTTGTAGACGACGATGTCGGGCTCAAAACCCGCTTCCCGCATCTGAACCAGAATGAATTTGGCCTCATCGAGCTTCCCAGCGCGGCACCAGCCGTAAAGGAGGGAAGTGAAATGGCGTAGGTTTGGGGGGAAGCGGTAGCGCATGTCACGGAAGAGGGAGGCGGCCTCCTTGACGCTACCGTTCTTGCAGAGGGCATCAAGGAGACAGGCGAATACGTAGTCGTCTGGAGCGCATCCGTATGCTGTCATTTCATCAAGTACCTGAACGGCCTTGGAAACCATACGGGCTGCGGCGAACCGGCGGATGAGGGCGACGAAGACGTCGGTGGTAAGGGCATCGGGGAGTTCGCGGCGCATCCGATCGAGGAGGGCCCAGGCGGCGCCGAAGTGGCGGGCACGAGTGAGGGAGGAGAGGAGGGCGCGGTGGGCGGCGGCAGATTGGGGGAGATCAGGTCGGCGGCGGGAGAGCCACGAGAAGAAAGAGATGGCAAGATCAGCGGCGGGGCCGCAACGGCGTATGACGCGTTCGAGGAGGCCCGGGCGGAGAGATACATCGGAGTCGCGCAGCGCAAGATCAAGCTTATCCGGCCGAATGTGGAACTTGCGGAGGATGCGGTATAGTTTTTCCACGTCGGAGGAGAACTCATCCGTGATGCGGGCTTCCGCGGCCGATTTGGAATCATCGGTGAGGTGGGAACTCCGTTGAGGGTAGAGCGATCGGATGCAGAAGAGAATCGCGGGTTGGGGTTTGGGTTTTGGTCGGAGAAGGAATGGGAGGACATTTGTGAGATTGCAGGATTTCCTCTGCATTTTTCCGCCATAACTTTGGCAGCTTAGTCTCATCTTCAGGTAAAATAAATACTAAAGTAAAAAAGATTATCCAAAAATAAATAAATATTTGAACTTATATTGTTTAAATTGGATAAATATCCTGATTGTTTATATTTTGTTGAGAATATATGAACGAGTCGAAAATTTTCTATTAATCAAAATACTTTTGAGCTTTGAACAAATAGAGGAGCAACTCGCACTGAATAATAATTATATTATATCATTTATGGGAGCTTATTGAATCTTCCTCGTTTCCGGCCGTCATATAGTTGGCATGTTGAGGCTGCTGTGAAATTTGACAGCAACAATCTCTCCATTCATCAATTTTTTTGAACATTAATGATTTTATTCTTTGGTTACTTGGGATTTGTTTGCACTCTAAACCCAGAGCGGCGTTCGTTAGTCATTAACTTTCAATTATTTAAAAGGGAAAATAGTTTTACAGATTAAATTTCAATTATTTAAAAGTTATATAAATCAAATCATTATTAAAAACTATTAACTTCTTAAAATAGCAGTAACAAAATATATTGCTACAGCAATCTATTTCTAGTTTTCTTTTATTGGAAATTTTCATATCATTATACAGATACACGTTTTTCTTCTGAACCATTAATTTTTTTAGCCTTTAGACGTCATTACTATTGTTTTCACCACGATGCATTTCATAAAAGGATTACGAAATATGATTCGCTCCTTATTTTAAATTGCATTATTGTGAGAAACGGCTTTTTTATTAAGAGACTAATTTTTAATATAATTGCTAGCATAGGGCATGCACAATTATAACTTCAGATGATATCAATAGCAACTGAGGCTTCCTTTGGGACAGCTTTTATTTACTTCTTTTTTAAAAAATTTTATACTAAAAAAAACTATTTTAAAAAATACTAAGAAAATTATCATAAACAAAACCTGAGGAAAATAGTTTTACAGATTAAATTTCAATTATTTAAAAGTTATATAAATCAAATCATTAATAAAAACTATTAACTTCTTAAATTGCATTATTGTGAGAAACGGCTTTTTTATTAAGAGACTAATTTTTAATATAATTGCTAGCATAGGGCATGCACAATTATAACTTCAGATGATATCAATAGCAACTGAGGCTTCCTTTGAGACAGCTTTTATTTACTTCTTTTTTAAAAAATTTTATACTAAAAAAAACTATTTTAAAAAATACTAAGAAAATTATCATAAACAAAACCTGAATTTATGTTGTACATATCTGTAACTTTAATTTGTTTCGAGCGGTTGGTTTTCCTTCTGTAAGTTAGGCAGGCTTGAATAGGCAACCCACCGATAGGCCTAATCCTGTTCTGTCATCTATAACAAGTAGAGAGAAAAAAAAAACATCAACATATTTTCTTCAAAAAGAATCAAATGTGGTCGTTAGTGAATGTTAAATTGGTATCAAATTTAACAGAGCAAATCACAATCAATTCAAAATTAAAATTTCCAATTTTTGCAAAAGTTGAAAATCATAAACTTTAGCCAATTTTAGAGTTATTTCGAGCCAAATGGCCCAAATCTATTAAAATAAAAAAAAAATACTTATAAAGTATAATATATATATAATTAATATCCTTTCAAAAGAAAAAAGAAAAATTGAACCAGCCATTTAATTGTCACCAGTACAAACAATCTGTTCATTTCCCCTCTACATCAAATCCAGGACCACCCTCCGCAAGCAAGGCGTCCAGCAAGAAGCTTAATAGACGCCTTCAAGTACGAGAGTCAAAATTGCTATGCAAACTACGAAAGCTATAACTATCACCACTTCATGGTAAATGAAGGAAACAAAGATAAAATAAAACTTGTTCAACTGAACGCATATACACAGTATACCTTTATATACCTTACGATGCCAACTCGTTCAATCCACTGTTTGACTAAGCAACCTGTAAAAAAAATCAGGTTTTGCTTTTTTTGGTCTGTGTTTCCTGCAAATGACTTTAAAACTAAGTCTAAAATGAAGTAATTCTGCAAGATTTGAAGAAGGCCTAAATCTAATGAACCATGATCACAGCGTCTTTCCAATTAGAAAAAGTTACATAATATTAGCTTTTCAAATAAATGGGCAGACCAGCTAAGAATAAGAAAACCACCACCCTTCTTGAGCAAGCAATAATAACATTACAATGATTATTATAACACGAAATATATCCAAGAAGTGATTACAGGCCATCAGATTAGCAAACATAGGCTAAGAATCACCATATACGAATGGTAGTTCGAATCCAAATGAACTGTGAAAATTTTCTTCTACATATGAACAATTTATATGGAATCTTTAGATTTTTAGGAAAGAAACGGTTGTAACACATATTACAGCTTCAGTAGTTCTACGAATGGCAACCTACAACTAAAATGACACACGAATCTCCCATCTATTCACGGCTGCATTACGAAAGTTGCAATTTCCTATAGCAGTCATCACCAGGCGAAGAGAGCAGAATGGTGAAATTGCCTGGTAAATATTGGGCAGGATCAATGTTTAAAATTGCGTATTCGGGTATTGAGGTGTTTTTCGTTCGTGAGACGAGGCGTAAGCCTCAAGGCGTTTTGAGGCGTAAGCCTCAAAATCAAAAGATTGCGTAAATATAAAATGATAATTTTTTTATATACTAATGAGTGAATAATATAAAACATAAAAAAACATAAGATATGAAGTTAAATCAAAATATTCCAATAATAAGACAACATGGACTATAGCTCAACTCAAAATTCTTTCCCAAATCCCAATATTCTTTTCATTAACATATAATTAAAATTTCCAAAAATAAATATCAATGACATATCACATAAGAACTCACAAGTCATCACCACTGTCATCACTAAGGGGTTCTTCATTTGAATCATCATTATGATGAACTACTCCCTCCCCTTCCTCCTCTTCTATAGAGTCCAATGTCAGGCATTTACTTCAAGATTTATGTAAGTTTTAATATATATAGCATGAGGCATAAGCCTCATACTAGTGAGGCGAGACGGGCCTCAACCAAGTTGAGGCTCAAGCCTCATAAAAAAAAAAACTCAAGGCGTAAGCATCGAGGCGTTTTTTACTGGAATTGCGCAAAGGCGAGCCTCATATTGTGCAATTTTAAACCATAGGCAGGATTCTGTTTTATTCTTACTACCAAAGATAAAATAATAATAATAACTCAACAAGTATGACCAGAAGCCTGCAAAAAACATGAAATAACCAAACTTGCTAGCAAATCAACTAAATCAGCAAATCACTTGATTATATATAACTTTTGTCTTAATCACTTTATCTGATTATAATGAAATGTGTTCGTAATATCTTCATAATTAAACAATTCCAATATGCCTCTTGCTCCACCCAAGCCACATCTTTTAAACCATCCCAAACACTACCCTAAAATCATATCAAACCTTAACCCTAAAACAATCTAAAATAAAAACACACATACCCCCTCCCCATCCTTAGCTCTTATACATCTCCATCCCACCAGAAAGAAAGAATAACTACTACAACTCACATCATAATTTGGTATTAAAGTAATATAATATAAAAAATCGTCATAAATCATCCACCGTTATTTCCAAATTACACCAATTTGGAATCAGAGCAGGATAAAAAAGGAGTCATTATAATGCCTTTCAATCCTCCAGCAAAGATGTCAGTGTTGGATTCTGATTCAAATTAAAAGTATTGGTAGTGCACAACAAAGTGATCAGAGATTAAAGATCAGTAACATGGATGAGTATCACCTCAAAATTTTAAGGTATAATTTTGACATTTTTAAGGATAAAATTATATCCAATATATTTTACAAAAAGGCACAACGCCACATACAAAGATTTTAAGAAGAGTATGTGAAGAGGACAAACCTTTGATATAAGAGCAATAAATGGAAATGCATATTTGATATTTTTCCTAAAATTGAGAAACAATGTGAGTACGTATCGAACGCATGACTTGATGGTTGGAAGCTGGGGTAGGGGTATGAGCAACTAGACTAAAGCCTGATTCCGATAAAAATTGACTGGATTGCGTGGAATATATTGTAGAGGTTATAACAAAATGTGACTTATCTCTTTGATAAATTCAAAATATTACAAGTGCTTGGACGTACTGTGAATTGCCTCATCTAGATTTATTAATGGCATTAGATCTGATACTAAGCATGATAATTAATCAAGTTGAAAATTGAGATGATGTTTATGAACTTGTTATATATATTAAAAGATATTATAGAGATCCTTGTATCGGAACATTAAATCTTTTCTAGTGCTTCAAAGAAAACACCTTCATATAAACCTCCTATCATTTAATTATCCAATATACTAGCCAAAGAACAAGTTCAACCCAAAAACATTACTCCAACCATGACTAAGTCACCCAAGAAAAATCTAGTATATCATCTTGGCCTTGAAACTAGTCCTGTTGAAGATTTTGTGCATAATAAACCTCTTTTTAATCATCAAGACCTAGGATTTGAAGAAGTTCAATATATGCAAGATGATTATACATATGATTGAACATTTGATGCAAAAAAAATGTTCACGTGAACAACAAACATAATCAGAAATTATGGGCAAAATAGAATCCAATTTAGAACGAGAAACATCGGCTAAAATTGACGTCAAAATAGAACCCACATTTGTGCCTAAATAACAAGTTTAATCTCAACAAAAAATTAAACCAGCGATAGAACTTGATTTGCAACTAAAATTAACTTTGTATATATATAAATATATATGTATCTCCAACTTTGATTCAATGAAAGAATATTTTTTAATATCTGTAGAAAAATAAAAAGAAAGAATATGGACTTGAATCTAAAGCCACAGTTTAGTTATTTCCTGATATATCTCTTGAAAAATTATTTATATAAAGTCCATTCATTTACATGATATAGAACATATTAATTTTATTATTGGTTCACCATCCTCACCTCAGGCCTATTGTTCAAGGCGATGGGGAAATAGTGGGGATCTTATTAGTAGAATTCAAGTTGGATGGTTGAAGTAGAGGAATGCATAGGGCCTGCCATGTGATAGAAAAGTACCCTTCAAACTTAAGGGAAATTTGTTAAGTTGGTGGTGAGACCGGCAATGCTTTATGATACAGAATATTATTCATTAAAAGAGAAGCATAAAATTAAGTATAGTACTGAAAATTTGAGGATGCTCACGTGGATTAGTGGGTTTACACTTAGAGACATAATATAATAAATATATGCATGAAAAGGTTGGAGTAGCTTCGGTGGCACATAAGATTAGAGAGTCATCTTAGATGATTTTGTCGCATAAAATTTCGGCATTTTGATGCCCCAATAGGATAATAGACGTGCTAGATCTGGCTTATATTAAGAAAGGTAGATGTAGACCTAAAATGATTTCGTTAGAAAGTATTAATAATGATATTTATATTAGAGTTAAATGAGAATTTGACTCTTAATAAGACAGAATGGAGAAAACAAATTCACGTAGCCTACCACAATTAGTGGAATGAAGGCTTGTTGTTGTTATTCAAGATTAACTATAAGTTAATAAAAATAGAAAAAAAGAATATTAGTGGAAGTTTCTGAACTTTCTAAGAATATTGGAGAATTTATTGGCATGAGTTTTCAATAAAAAGCTTAAATAATTGTGCATCAGCTATAATATTGATTGTGAAATTGAATCACTGAATCTATTTGTTACACCATTTGGCATATTATTTATCAAAAACATAGTTTGTCTTTATTATTTGCCAACAACAAATCAACATTGTGATTTATAAATTATTATTTAAAAATCTCTTTAACATATGTTAATTGCTCAACATAAATGTTCATTATTTTTTCCTCCAATCAAAGTGACCAGAATAATTCAGCAGACGTCTTATACACTGCATTATCTAATATATGCCGGCTATATAATGTGATGATACAAAAAAGGACTTTTTCTTGCATGATAGTAATTAGAAATCTGCTACTAATATTCACAAGAGATAATAAATTCAATAAAATTGATTATATTTTAGTGTGGATTCATCCCCAATGCATTGCACACAAAACATTACATGCTCAAGCCTCTAGACCCCACAAATTTATTAGAATGCTTGGGCTTTATGCATATGTTATTAATTCGCTTGTAGCATGAATATCAATTCCACTTTAAATGGCAAAGATTTGCTACCTTATTGAGACACATTTGAGCAACTTATGTTTCTTTCAACTAATAAAAATACTTTGTAGAGTAAGATTCAAAAACTTAATTTTTTGAGTTGTTCTAATGTTATGTGGAAAAAAAAAATCTAATGACATAAAGAATATTTTAAAATATGTGATTGGGGAATTAAAATATGCAAGAAAAGATTTAAAAAAAAATCAAGAAACTTTGTTATAAAAAATTAGTTTAGAGGTAAAATCTCAAAAAAAAAAAAGGAAAAGAAAAGATAGAGAGATCCATATGGATTTTACGAAAGCAATATATGATGGCAAAAAACATGTATAAGTTATCTAAGATATAAGGGAAGTAAATATTTAGATTAAGTAAAGTGCATTAAGGATGATGATTAAAATGAGTTTTTCTTAAAAGAGGATATTCAATATAGATAGATGAGATATTTCAATAAATTTTTCAATGAAGGTTATGAGAATACAATTATTTTATTGACTTTAGTAACCTAAATGAAAATAGAGATTTTTATTTTTGTCATCATATTAATAAAACCATACTTGGAGAGGTTATAAAGAAAATGAAGTTTGGAAAAGAAGTGGGACCTGATGATATTCCAATAGAAGTATTGAAATGCTTAGGAGGTCAAATGAGTGGAGTGTATTGGTTCTTATTTTTAAGAATAAAGGTGATGCATGTGCAAATATTAGAGTAATTAAGTTAATGTGTCAAACATTAAAATTATGGGAGGGGAATTGAGCATATGTTACAACGTGATAATAATTTTTCTAAAAATTGGTTCGGATTCATGACGGGTAGGTCTGCTATGACAGCTATACATTTGTTGAGAGTTTTGATGGAGACGTATATAGAGAGTAAGGAGGATCTATAAATAATATTTATTCATATAGGGAAAGCATATCATAAAGTATCAAGATAAATGCTCTAAAGAGTTAAAAAAAAAGAAGTTAATAATGCTTATATTCAAGTCATTAAAAATAGGTCTGTCAAAACCGGGTCATGGGTCTGGTTCGAGTTCAACCCGAAATTGACCCGGGTACATATGGGTCAACCCGAACCCGACCCATTTTTCGAAACGGGTCAGTTTGCTAGACCCGAACCCGACCCGCTTCGGGTCCGGTTCAACCCGCCCGACCCGTTTGACCCGAAAAAATTAAAATTAGTTTTTGTATTTAATTACAATTAAAATATACACCCTTCAAACAATTTTTTAAAATGTACAACAAAACATATCATTTACATTTTACAAACTACAAATCAATAAATTACAAATAAATTACATATTATTTACTAAACGGGTCAAAACGGGTCATT